CTGTCAAGGACGCAGGAATGGGCAGGAGTGGGGAAAATGTAAGATCCGAAGTATGTCAGGAATGTTCGCCACCCTTGATTTAGGCAAGGGATGTGAGGCTTTGTGTAAATGTCATGGGAACAAAAGCCTGCCCGCTACATTAAAAGTTTACTCGACAGTGAATTTGTATGTCCAGAAAAATGTGTGTATAATCCCATAAGGGGCTTAGAGGGGAATGGAACATATCTGCAATATAAATGCAGATTACCTTTATTACAAAATTGGATCATATTCTCATTCCTAGACTAATTTCCTATATCATAAAACCTATATTCAATTTTATAAATAGCATACACCAAGAATCATAAATTCAGTTAATGCAGAAATTTAACAGATTTTTTTTTTAATAAAAGTGAGAAAAGGCTGTTTTCGAGCAAGTATCTGAAAGGACAGAAAGGGCTCTTTCTTTGAAGATATGTTTTTCCCTCTGACTCTACCTCCTTGGGGATATAACTAGAGAAGAAATAAATTTCACAGCTAATATATATGAAGTAACATGTTTAACATTATCCAATGAATTTATATCTACCTACACCATATAAATTTATCTCACATAAACTGTCATCTCCAACAGAATTCATTAAAACAATGTTATAGCTTCTGAATTAAATGCACCCTTCTAATTGGAATTTAATCTTACAATAGTAGTGGGTTTTATTTTCTAATTGACAAACGGAATAATTCATTACTTTGTCTCACAGTTCTGTCTGAAGAATTAGAAAGTAAACGTGACCTAGGTGTTGGCTGGCCACTTCTGTGCAGTACACGGGGGCAGGGGAGGGAGGCGGGCAGTGGAGTTTCCTTCTTCATCCTCAGAACTCCTTGGGTTGCTTATGGGCAGGAAAAGGATGGACACTCTCACTCTCACCATCCTGAATGACTAGATTACTAATATATTCCATTACCGCCACGTAAATGTCATGTTAATTTCTGATCTTCATCAAGCCAGACAATGGTTTCCACCTTGGCCCCTGGCCAATTAGCTGTGTGGAAAATATTCAGCCAATTACGTTACTTCTATTAGGTTAGGGACTGGAGAGAAAGGCAAAATAAACGCCTCGAAAATACTTGGGAGATAAAATGTAAGTTGACACTGTCTTCGCATGCTGGAGCCCAGTTATACAATCTGATAGGCAGCTGTCAGCACTCATAACCGCTTATTAAATCTAGCCTCTCTTTATGGCGTGAGTGAAGATCTGTATTTTTACCAATATTAGGTTCATCGTGTTATGAAAGAGACCAAAATACTTAAGATCATTCACTCCAGCTTATAAAACATATTATGTAGTTTATTAAATTGTTAAAATTACTTTTCCAAACTCAAAATTTCAGGGCCTGGAAGTTGAAGCACAACAAAGTGGCTCTGCCCACTGACAGGTTCCAGCACAAGACAGCTCAGGAGGGGAGCCCATCAGACAGCTTTCCAGTCCCAAAACACCTGCTACCTGCCCCCACCTCTTCCTGGAAGCTGTACCACCACTACCGCACCCCAAACCCCATGACCAAAAAAAAACAAAAAAAAACACTCAAATTTTATACAAAAGCAAGGAACTCCCAGCCAAAACACAGCCCATTCTCAAGTCGTAAGAAGTGGGAAGAAATATTTCCTATGGTTTTCCCTTATCCGAGAAGGTTAAAAGCTAGGAATTTCATTATGACAGAGATCAAACAAGGAACTGTGGGTCAAGAAGGAAAAACAATCGATGACAAAACAATGTCACATGGTGCTGCATTCTTACACTGGATCCTCCAGCAGAAGACAGCTTACTGATAGGGAGTGGGCAATGCCAAGACAGAGACTGAATAACAAGCCAGCAATGCGCCATCCCTACTCCACTCTGCTCAGGAAAACTCTATATGCAAATCCAGACTGTTATTATCACATTTATTAATAACACTGTGGCTAACTGCCTATTAAATATGCAGCAGACTTAACCGCTCTCTACTCCGGGAGCCTCGTGATGTGCATCAGACAGGTATCCATACCAACTTCAGCTTCACGCCAGGGAAACAGGAGCCAACTCTGATTCCCTGCTGGCGAACGGTGGCATTAAAGAACCATCCCAAAGAGAGACCTCAAGCGCTCAGCCTGTCCTTCCTCTGTTATCTTGCACCTAAAGTAATTTACTAAGCAGGCATGGTTATCACCAACATAAATTGAATATATTACCCATTTTCTGGCTTTAAGAATTTGCCACAATGATCTATTTGTGCAAACCTTTCCTCATATGAGTTCACTTGCCTTGCATGTGAGGGCAGCAATGTACTGTTCTGGTTGCCTGGCCCCCATGACTGTGACTCTGTCTACCATGAGGACACTCAGCGTGAAACACTGCACACAGAATTAGAGTTTATTCCAAGCCCGAAGACTTCAAATTATCAGTGGTAACCATCAATGGGCGCTTCTTTTGGTTACTTGAAAAACTGTAAGGTTCTAAAAGCCACAGGGCTGTGAATATATTTTTGACAATGAAAGGACTAACTAAATGCCAGATACATAATACACAGGAAGTCGGGTTATTGCATCACAGAGGAAGAGAATTAGTCCTCTGGGCAAACCTTGGAGGTGTACTTTGAGGAAGAAGAGGGTTGAAAATCAGAACAAATGCTCCAGCTCATCAGAGCTCAGGGACTTCCACTTCCTACGAAAAATATAGTGAAGGGACGTTTACTACCATCTGATAAATACAAAACACTTCCTTAATATAAAAACCTGGTATTCGACAAGACCATCTTATCAATTCAAAAGAGAGATCATTTTCATTATAGTTCTTGAGTCTGATTTCTCAAATAGCCTCACCCAACAAAATTAATGAATAAAATGAACCCTGTCTTTAATAAATCCATTCATGTGGTTTTGTTAAACTTCATACATCAATTTTATGACCATGAAATTGAGTCAGGCTTTCTCAATACTGGAGACAGAGATGACAGGTAATCTCATGTCTGAGTTTGTTACTATTTCAGTAATTTCAGAATTCCAACCACTTCTATTAATTCTCCTGTGTATCTGAGGCAGGCCCTGGCTTTTGTCTCAACTCAACCCGGATCTGCAAAGATGTAACGTTTCATAATGCTTGCTACCTGATCACTTACCAACAGACCATCCGCAGAAGTCTATCATAGCTATGTAGCAGTGGAAAACTCTCGAAGCAACTTCACAGGTGAGAAGTCAAAGTACTTCCCAACAGCATCCAAGGAATATGAGGGAGGATCTTTATCAGCTCTAAATTCCATGACTCTGCTAACCATTTCATTTTGGTGTGGACATCCTTGCCTCCTGTGTTACTATTTACTATTTGCCTTATTTCTTGCCAAGAAGGAATAATGTCAGGAAGATAGAAGACTTCGTGTTTCCTCTATCTGAAGCTTCAGCAGAATGGAGTAACAAAACAGCCCAAGCAGAAGTGAATTTTAGAGCTCACAGGTTCTTTGTGGATCAACTAGTCAATACTAACTGTTTTAAGTGCTTCACTAGGGCTCCTTTTTTTTTTTTTTTAACTTATGACATGAGAAGGTCAAATTGGTCTCTAACTATAAAAATCTTTGGGGTACATGGCTCAACTTGATCTTAGCTCAGGTCTTGATCTCATGGTCCTGAGTCAAGCCATACACTGGAACCCAGAGTACAGCCCACTTTAAAAAATAGATAAAATCTTTTCGAATCTGTCCCAATAACTAAATGCATAACAATTTCTTAAGAAGACACTTATCAGAGAACTTTTACGCAGCTGCACAGGCTGGATGTCTCAACCTCTATTAACAGAAAAACTAGAAAAAAGATCCTTAAGGACAAAAGAAGTAGGCTCCAGTTCCAACCAGGCCAAGCACTTAGACATCTCAGTTAGACTCTGTGGGCTTCGGCTGCTCCATCTATTAAATGTGGGCATTTAAACTGACAATTTCTAGGGCCTTGTCAGCACTGACAAACAGGGTACTCTAACCCATCTGCTTCGTTGTAAATGTAGGAAATCACAACAGAGACTAACCCGCCCCATGTCAGGTAACTATTGGACCTCCCAATTCCAACATAATGTTCTTCCTCCCTCAATACCCTTCCCTCCATAAAAGGAATCTGTTTCGAATGCAATCATACTAAGACAAAGGACATGGAGTTTATGCCAATGGTTCTCTCATCATTAAGTGCCACTGAATGCAAAACCTGAAACGAAATGGCTCCCCTCAAAGGTGACCTCGTCCTACGACAAAGCCACCACTGAATGATGTCAGACTTTTTATCTGGAACACCTGGCCTCGACCAATTACTTTCTCTGACAAAGGCAAGTCACAATTGCTTGCTCGTTGCTGTGAGAGAGACGCTGATTGCCGAAGAACGTGGCAGATGCTATCAAATACAGAAAACACGTGTGAGAGAGAAAGATCATCACGTCCCTCCTGCCCTCCCCTAACGATTACAATGAGTAACTTGCTGAGGTGAACAATGACTGAGAAAAATGCTCATAAGTCTTTCTGAAAATCTTTGAGAGCCCACAGCAGTTTTCTCAAGAACCCTCTTCATGGGGAAAGCTGGGGATGAGACCTTCTTAGTGAACAAATCAGACCTAAATTCCCTCTGAAACTCAAGATGAGATCATTATACTTGTAGTCCATGGTGATTCATTGTTTGCTGAGTGATTATAAGACCAAAAAAACAATTATTCTTTTATGCGTGTGGATCATATGAATTAAAATAAAATGCACATAAACAAACAAAAAAAAGTTCTCCCATGTCCTGTGGTGCCTCTCACAAATCCTCAGATCATTCCAGGAGTTATCCGAGAGGGTTACAGCAGAAAACAACAGCGGAGCTGCTTTCTTCTTTCAAGATGAGAATCTCACACCCTCAGTGTGCCATTGTTCTGATGAACTTAGGACTTCTGTGAGTTTCCTGCACTGTGTGTGACCCCTGCAGCCACGTATCTGTCTTGTGAATTTTCAAATACTCATAAACATGCACTTACCCTTTTGGCCAGCAAGCATCACATCCACCCGTTCATGGTTGACAGCAAATCAGAGAAGGGATCGAAGCCCTCACCATCGCCCAGATGTTTTTTTTTTTTTTTTTGGAAACTGGAATTGTCAGCAAAAGGTCCTGGGACACTGCAATACAAAAATATTTTTTACACATAACTAAGATGTAGCGTCTAAAACCACCACTTCCTTAAACTTGAAAACAGCAAAGCAGACATAGAATCTAGAGGTAGGGGAAAACACCTTTAAAATGAGGGTATATCAATATATCAAATGTGATGCTGTCAAATATGAACCGGAAATACTGTTTTGAAAGATGCGTTTACCAATGACTTCAACATATACACCAAAAGATTGTTGTTTACTGCAGATCTTGTGCAAAGTATTTTACTTTTTTTTTTTTTAAGATTTTATTTATTTATTTGACAGACAGAGATCAAAAGTAGGCAGAGAGGCAGACAGAGAGAGAGAGGAAGAAGCAGGCTCCCCGCTGAGCAGAGAGCCAGATGGATGCAGGGCTCGATCCCAGGACCCTGGGATCATGACCCGAGCTGAAGGCAGAGGCTTTAACCCACTGAGCCACCCAGGCGCCCCTTTTACTTACTTTAGCATTAAAAAAATACCAGGTCCCATTATAGAGTGCTCAGGTCACAAGAAGGTGTTTTAACTCAAATATTATATGGATAAGTATACCATTTCCTAGTAAGTATCTTTTCCAGAGGATGAAAATAAATGAAAATTTAAATAATACTATCTTAAAATTCTTTTTAAGCAATCATGAACCTCATTTCTCCTCCAAAATATTTCTAAAAATGTCTATGAGTTACTTAAGGAGCAAGACTCAGGGAGATATTTCCCCCAAGAGGGAACATACCCATGTCATGGGCAGGTGGTCCCAGTGGAAAAGCCTGAATGCTGGACCTGATCTCGTCACCAGCTGTGTGGACCCAGGAAAGCTATTGAATATCTCAGGATTCCAGCTATTTCATGGACAAGGTCAGGGCAGTAACTCATGTTCCCCAAGTCCCTTCCACCGCTTAGCTTTGTTCAGGGTTTTCGATAAAGAATACTTATTCCAAATAAGCTAAACTATTTGCTTCTCTTTTAAAAATTCTTGATCAAAAAGATTTTTATCACGTACCATTCTTATGTCGATCTGCCATCAACGCTGAAGATGCGCTACAGGCAGAAGGCTTTGCACATGCACAGAAGAATTCTCACCCTGGCACCAGTGCCCGACCCTGGTGAGCTGCCCCCCCCTCGGTGGCTGACAGCACCCCTTGGGTGCCCACAGAAGGCTTCCATTTCTCTCCACAAAGGACAGCTCCAACTACTATGGCCGTCTGCCCAAATGTATTGGCACCTGAGAGTTTCTCAAACATTTGTGTGTACAAGCAAAAAAGAAACGGGCTGAGACTGTTTACCATGTTGAGGATAAAAACCAAACTTCTCTCTGTGGCCTACAAGGCCCTGCAAATTGGTCACTTTCTACTTCTCTGCCACTTCCAGCCACCAACCCAATCCCCAACTACAAGTTACAGTGGCCTCCCTTCCATTTCAAGCAAGCTGTGTTCTTCTGTCCCAGGGCTGGAGCACAAGCTTCTCCCGCTACCTGAAATGCCCTGAGCTCACTCCTTACACAAATGGCTCTTTCTCTTCACTGGGTCTTAGGGGCAAAGGCCACTTCAAGAAGGCTGTCCTGCCTACCTACTTAGGCTAGATCCCTGGTTACTCTCAGTAAAATCATCCTATTTGCTTTCTCCAGAGCTTTGGTCGTAATCTATAAACTTTTTTCTCACTTATTCACTGGTCTTCCCCACTTGAATCTAAGCCCCATAAGATAAGGGGACTTCTCTGTTTTATTCTCTCACTCTACTCCAAAACTTGAGAAAAATGCCTGGCTCATGGCAGGCACTCCAGACAGATCCACCAGATCAACAAATGAATCAACAATCGAAAAGAATTCATTCTTCAGCAGCCTACAAAAATGTAATTGCTAGGGACTGAAAACCCACTATGTGCTGGATATGGTTTTAAGTATTTTACCACAGTTCTTTCATTTACTTCTATTCTTACAGCAAAGTTCCTGGTAGACAATGTTATAAGCTTAATAAGCAGGTAAGAAAACGCAGGCACAGTCTTAGTAACTTGGCCAAGATCACACAGTAGCAGGGCTTTGACTCCACAAAGTGGGCGCTCATGAGCACTCTGTATTTTTCCAGCCAATACAGTAAGAGAAACATTTTGAGTGCCTACCTTGTGCTCGACACCCTTCTGACAAAAGCTCGCTGGAGGGTCTTGTAGAAAATACTCAGCCTCCCTGACCCTGAGCTTCCTGCTTCACACAGGGGAAGCTGAGGTCCCCGCACAACGACCAGGCAGACAATGCAAGTGAACAAAACGGACCAGGTGTAAGGAATAGGGGGCAAGGCACAAGGACGCAAATTGGAAAAATTTTTCATCTTAAAGAGGGCAGCCAGTGCCTGCCACAATCCAAGTGTTGCCAGAGCGGAACAGAAGTCCAGGCTTCACGAGCTTTCAACTGTATGAAGGAAGGCAGTGATCTAGGTTACTGTTTTGTGAAATTTCATCATTTTTCAAAGATAGCAGCAAATCTTTTAACAGCACCCATGAAAAAGGAAAGGAAAGGAAAAGGGAAGGGGAAAGAAGGAAAGGAAGGGAAGGGAAAGGCAGGAAAGGAGAAAGGAAAGAGACAGAGAAAGGAGAGAAAGAACAAACCTACAAGTCCTGTGCCAAATGACTGCTGAAGTCATGCCATGCCTGTGAGTCTAGAAGGATTCTGAAGCGCAGAGAAGCTGTACAGCTGAACACAGAAAAACAGAGTAGGTATCTAGACAAGTAAGGGCATTCCAGAGGAATTATCTTGAGCAAGTTTTAGAAGGAACTGGAAGATGCGGTGGAAAAGGCATTTCACAAAACCAGAATGTCAAATTCAGAGGCTTGGAGGTGGGGAGGAGAAGGCAAGTCACCCCAAGAGACAGCAGGGAGGAGGGAGGGCTAAAGGGAGAGTTCGTGGAGCTTTTCTTTTCATTTATGCTTGAAGAAGCTATAGGTTCCCACCTAAGACACAGGCTGGGCAAACAGTGTCTAAGGGTATACTCATTAGTGCTGTCTTGCTTGATATCCTACAACATGGAAGTTACCAGGCACAGGTGAGAATAAAAAACCATGGGGCCCCTGAGTGGCTCAGTCGGTTAGGCATCCAACTCTTGATCTCGGCTCAGGTCCTCATCTCACAGGTTGTGAGTTTGGGCCCCATGCTAGGTGTGAAGCCCACTTAAAAAAAAAAAAAAGAAAGAAAGAATACTAAAAACTGGGGCACCTGGGTGGCTCAGTGGGTTAAGCCTCCGCCTTTAGCTCAGGTCATGATCTCAGGGTCCTGGGATCGAGCCCCACATTGGGCTCTCTGCTCAGTGGGGAGCCTGCTTCCCTTCCTCTCTCTCTGCCTGCCTCTCTGCCTACTTGTGATCTCTCTCTCTGTCAAATAAATAAATAAAATCATTTAAAAAATAATAAAAATAAAATAAATTAAAAACTAAAAATAAAAATAAAAACAAAGAAACAACTACCATTACAGTTTGTGGAACAATTTGGGGTTTTTTTTGTTGTTGTTGTTTTAAGGGTCCAAGAGACCCAGAACTGAATTCTATCTCAATCAAGCTCTACAACTCTAACCAAACTACTATATAAATAATACATACTATAATTCTTATATATATCTGCTGTACATATCTATAAAATACATATACCATAAAAATACACATACACTAGAATTCATACATTTATGTAATACATATATATATATACCTTTAAATACTATAAAATACGAGCTCTGTAGATCTAACCAAAATACTATATAAACAAGATATAGTGTAGTTTTTATATGTATTTAGAATATATATCCTATTAAGTACATTCTACATACACACATACACACTACATACAATACATACATATACACATACATATATGATACAAGCTCTCTAACTCTAACCAAACTCCAAACTCCAGAAACTAAAAAATACAGCCACTGAAATTTTTAAAAATCTAAAAATTAAAAAAAGAAAAAAGAAAAACAAGAGAAGACAGATATCCAAATAAATTACCCAGAAAACTACCCAGAGGCAAAAACAGTCTACCTAGAATTGTATACCCAGAAAAAAAAGATACCTTTCAAAAACGAGGATGAAATAAAGATCTTTTCAGACAAACAGAAGTTCATCACCTCTCTACAGGGACCTTCAGAAAGATGTATTTCAGGCCAAAAGAAAATGATTTCTCTGACTTAAGAAGAAAGGGGGAGCCAAAATAACGAAACCATGAGTCAATGAAAAATAAATGCATCAAAATGATGAGCGTGTCTCAAAAACAAAAATAACATTTCTTACATAAAAATAAACTTAAACGTCTGGCAGCACATCACATGTCCCCTAGCCCAGGTCCTTATTTACACGGCGACACCCCACCACCAAGGCCTTGCTCTGCAAACCTGAGTGTGCCATCCAGGGACATGGGCTTGAAATGCATATTACTGCCCCCATACCCAGTCCAAAGAGTCAGGGCCCAGGAATCTGCATTTCGGCCAGATGCCCCTAGGTAATCAGGATGAGGTTGGGTCCTTGCCACGCTATCCACCCCTTCAGGGCCAAGAACTCAGGGAGCCGGGGGCTCAGCTCCAGGAGGTCACAGGAATTTGCTGTCTTCCCCTTCGCTGCTGCCCCAGAAGAGCACCCTGGCTCCAGGGTCAGTAGCAGCCCTGCCTCAACCCTCCTAATCGGGAGCTGCAATAAATTAAAAGCCCATTACATTATTTTAGAGAAAAAGCCTAGAAGTGCTGAACTATTAATTGTGCCATATTCAATCTGTTTTCCTAGAGATTCGAAAAACCAGATTACCATCTTGGGGGTCATTATAAAGAATGAAGCTTTGCTCCCTTCCCATTTACATATTTAAAAATGCATATATTCTTGCAGTGGCTGCGACCCAGACTCCCCAGGTCCCTGCGACCACACCACAATCTAACCATGCTGAAAGAGGCCAGGCACACCATGGGGTCCTGCCTTGTTTTTTTTTTTTTTTTTTTTTTTTTAAGTAGAGGAACCAAAGCC